TGGAGGGCTGCGTGGGTGGCTCAGTCGGTTAAGCGTCTGACTCTTGGTTTTGGCTCAGGTTGTGATCTCAGGTTTGTGAGAAAGAACCCCCCCCACACACACACAACCCCCACCCGGGGCCGGTGGTGGGGGTCCTCCATGCTCAGCAGGGATTCTGCTTCTCTCCCTTTTCCTCTGCCCCTCCCCCTGCTCACATGCCACAATTTTCTACCAAACTAGTTGTCCATTCTAATTGCCATTAAAGGAAATGATTTCCAAGAAAGAATAACATTATAACTTCTTAGAAATCAAGCCAAAGAACTATCAAAGCATTGACATTTTGGAACAAGCGTAAGTTACATCTCTTAGATCAACTGTAAAAATACTTCAGACCTACGAAATCTTCAACTGTGCTCATTTATTTTCCTGAAGTTTCCTATTTTCTGACACACAAAGTACTTTTATATTTTTTAATTGTAATTTAATTCTATTTAAGAGATTTTTTTTATTATTATTTATTCATTTGAGAGAGAGAGAGAGACAGAGAGAGCACAAGCAAGGGGAGAGGCAGAGGGAAAGGGAGAAGCAGACTCCCCTCTGAGCCGCCCAATGTGGGGCTTGATCCCAGGACCCTGAGATCATGACCTGAGCCGAAGGTAGACGCTTAGCCATCTGAGCCACCCACGCATCCCACACAAGGTACTTTTAATAAGCTTAATTGAGACCCAAGAGTTTAAGAGAATTATCCAACCACTATTTTGTTACAAATTAAACTCAGTGAGGAACACATTTCCTCATCATGTTAACATTCGGAGACTGTATAGTTTTATTGTTGAAGCATTTATCACAATCTGTAATGACCTTGTTTTATATGCTTATTGTTTTTTTTCCTATATAATTTCTGTAAGATCAGGGACCCTGTCCTCCTTCCTCACTGGTATATCTCCTCCACCTAACATAAGGCCCAATACTAAAAAGCATTCATATATATGTACTGACTTAACAAATGGGTATTTTGGTCACAGAAAGGAAAGCATGATTAGGAGTTAAATAGTCCATGCCCTCAGATTTCTCAAAAAAATGTAAAAGGTGGCTTATTATTATTTTTATGGATTTTTTAATGCCTCACACAGTAGATTCTCAAAAATAAATTGCATCTTTTTTGGAAATGGAAATGACGTTGAATATTACAGCAGGACTGGAACTCACAAATCTGCTCTAAAAACGTGAAGGAGAAAGAGGACAGTAGAAAAACAGTTGTGCTTAGTACTCTCCAAGGGTTTTCTACCCACTGTCTCAGATAAACCCTGGAGGCACTCTCCATCTTCAAGATGAGCAAAGTGAGAATTCGCCAGGAAGTCCATGGCCCAAGGTCAAGAAAGTGTCAGGATTGAGATTAGAATACCAGTTCGTCCTTAAACCAAAACCCACATTATTTCCTCTACTCCATGCTGCCTCCACAGGAACCAGAAAAGAAGTATATCTTTTTTTTCAGTAACAACACATTAAGTGCATTAAATGACACAGTTAATATTTGCAAAGAAATGTTTTGATTATTCAACTTACGAACTTTTTAGAAAAGGTGAGTAAACGGGGCGCCTGGGTGGCTCAGTTGGTTAAGCGACTGCCTTCGGCTCAGGTCATGATCCTGGAGTCCCTGGATCGAGTCCCGCATCGGGCTCCCTGCTCGGCAGGGAGTCTGCTTCTCCCTCGGACCCTCCCCCCTCTCATGTGCTCTCTTTCTCATTCTCTCTGTCTCAAATAAATAAATAAAATCTTAAAAAAAAAAAAAGGTGAGTAAACTAAATAATTAAATGTATCAATTGGGAGGGCTGAAGTGATGTGAGAAAGCACAGATAAAGTCACTAGAAAAGAAGCATCCCATTGTGCACATTTTCACACCTACTGTACTGCTAATTTTAAAGCCAAAGAAAATCTTCAGATTCTGAGGCATTTTTAATTTGCAAAAAGGATGAGATGTGCCTTTAAGAGAACAGTAATTTAGGGTTTGTCCTCAGGATAATTTCCAGTTTTCAGCAGGAAGGCTGTTCGTTACGGTAGAGTGAGCGGGGTGTGCAGATAACTGTGCCAGACTGGCGGCCTCGGGGTGAACTGTGGTTCCTAGACCCTCTTCCACCGCGTGCTTAAGTCTAATATTAACTTGAGAAGAACTGCCCTGAACCTGGACTTTTTATGAGGGACAGAGGAGCAAGGAAGGAAGCGCTACACAGACAGAAGGGAAGGGAGGAGGAGAGCAACCCTGTGAGCGCTTTCCCAGACCAAGCCCGCCCACTCGGGAGCCCCGCAGGGCCAGCAGCAGTATCCCTGCCAGGCCAGGGGAGAGGGTGCAGCCCCTGAGCACGGGCCCGGGACCCCGGCCGGGGCACCTGCAGCTGTGGGCTCCCGCACTTGAGGACACCCGCACCTGGGGGCCCCCGCACCTGGGGACACCCGCACCTGGGGGCCCCCGCACCTGAGGGTCCCCGCACCTGGGGACACCCGCACCTGAGGGTCCCCGCACCTGGGGACACCCGCACCTGAGGGTCCCCGCACCTGGGGACACCCGCACCTGGGGGCCCCCACACCTGGGGGTCCCCGCTCCTGGGGACACCCGCACCTCGGGGTCCCCGCACCTGGAGGCCCCTGCACCTGAGGGTCCCCGCACCTGGGGACACCCGCACCTGGGGGCCCCCGCACCTGGGGACACCCGCACCTGGGGGCCCCCCGCACCTGAGGGTCCCCGCACCCGGGGACACCCGCACCCGGAGGCCCCCGCACCTGAGGGTCCCCGCATCTGAGGACACCCGCACCTGGGGGCCCCCGCACCTGGGGACACCCGCACCCGGAGGCCCCCGCACCTGGGGACACCCGCACCCGGGGACACCCGCACCTGAGGGTCCCCGCACCTGGGGACACCCGCACCTGAGGGTCCCCACACCTGGGGACACCCGCACCTGGGGGCCCCCGCACCTGGGGGTCCCCGCACCTGGAGACACCCGCACCTGGGGGCCCCTGCACCTGAGGGTCCCCGCACCTGGGGACACCCGCACCTGGGGGCCCCCGCACCTGGGGACACCCGCACCTGGGGGCCCCCGCACCTGGGGACACCCGCACCTGGGGGCCCCCCGCACCTGAGGGTCCCCGCACCTGGGGACACCCGCACCCGGAGGCCCCGGCACATGAGGGTCCCCGCACCTGGGGACACCCGCACCTGGGGGCCCCCGCACCTGGGGACACCCGCACCCGGAGGCCCCCGCACCTGGGGACACCCGCAGCCGGAGGCCCCCGCACCTGGGGACACCCGCACCCGGGGACACCCGCACCTGAGGGTCCCCGCACCTGGGGACACCCGCACCTGGGGGCCCCCGCACCTGCGGGTCCCCGCACCTGGGGACCCCCGCACCTGGGGGCCCCCGCACCTGGTGACACCCGCACCCGGAGGCCCCCGCACCTAAGGGTCCCCGCACCTGGGGACCCCCGCACTTGGGGACCCCCGCACCCGGAGGCCCCCGCACCTGGGGACACACGCACCTGGGGACACCCGCACCTGAGGGTTCCCGCACCTGGGGGCCCCCGCACCTGGGGGCCCCCGCACCTGAGGGTCCCCGCACCTGGGGACACCCGCACCCGGAGGCCCCCGCACCTGAGGGTCCCCGCACCTGGGGACCCCCGCACCTGGGGGCCCCTGCACCTGGTGACACCCGCACCCGGAGGCCCCCGCACCTGAGGGTCCCCGCACCTGGGGACCCCCGCACCTGGGGACACCCGCACCCGGAGGCCCCCGCACCTGGGGACACCCGCACCCGGGGACACCCGCACCTGGGGACACCCGCACCTGAGGGTCTCCGCACCTGGGGGCCCCCGCACCTGGGGACACCCGCACCTCGGGGTCCCCGCATTGGGGACACCCGCACCCGGAGGCCCCCGCACCTGAGGGTCCACGCACCCGGGGACCCCCGCACCAGGGGGCCCCCGCACCCGGTGACACCCGCACCCGGAGGCCCCCGCACCTGGGGACACCCGCACCTGAGGGTCCCTGCACCCGGGGGCCCCCGCACCTGGGGACACCCGCACCTGAGGGTCCCCGCACCTGGGGGTCCCCGCACCTGAGGGTCCCCGCACCTGGGGGCCCCCGCACCTGGGGACACCCGCACCCGGAGGCCCCCGCACCTGAGGGTCCCCGCACCTGGGGACCCCCGCACCTGAGGGTTCCCGCACCCGGGGGCCCCCGCACCTGGGGACACCCGCACCTGGGGGCCCCCGCACCTGAGGGTCCCCGCACCTGGGGACACCCGCACCTGAGGGTCCCCGCACCTGGGGACACCCGCACCTGGGGGTCCCCGCACCTGGGGACACCCGCACCCGGAGGCCCCCGCACCTGAGGGTCCCCGCACCTGGGGACACCCGCACCTGAGGGTCCCCGCACCTGGGGGCCCCCGCACCTGGGGACACCCGCACCTGGGGACACCCGCACCTGAGGGTCCCCGCACCTGGGGGCCCCCGCACCTGGGGACACCCGCACCTCGGGGTCCCCGCATTGGGGACACCCGCACCCGGAGGCCCCCGCACCTGAGGGTCCACGCACCCGGGGACCCCCGCACCAGGGGGCCCCCGCACCCGGTGACACCCGCACCCGGAGGCCCCCGCACCTGGGGACACCCGCACCTGAGGGTCCCTGCACCCGGGGGCCCCCGCACCTGGGGACACCCGCACCCGGAGGCCCCCGCACCTGAGGGCCCAGGCACCAGGGGACCCCGCACCAGGGGCGGGCGACGGGGTCGAGCGCAGGGGGCCCCGGGACCGCAGACGGCGGGTTCGGGCGTCCATCCTGGCCTCAGCTTCCCGGGCGCAGGCGGCGGAACGACCCTCGCCCGCCCCCGCCCGGCCCCCACGCTCCTCACGCGCTTTCCACCCGCAGCCGACGCGTCGGGATCGGGGCTCGGGCGACAGAGCGCCGACCTCCGCCTCTCTGGAGACCCCCCAGGCCCGGCGGCCCGCCCTGCCCGCCCGGCCGCACTCACCGCGCACGAAGAGCACGCTCCCGCAGCCGCACTCGCCGCGCGCCCCGCAACCGCCGGCGCCCACCTCGGCCGCGGCCGGCGCGAGGCCTGAGGGCCGCTCCGGGCCGCGCCCGCCGCCCCGCCCCCGCCCCGCCCCGCCCCGAGCCAGTCGCTGCCGCGCGCCGCCGCACGTGACGCTCGCCAGCCAATGGCAGCCCGAGGCGGCTCGGGGGGCGGCCGGCGGCTCCGCGCGCGTTCCCAGCGGGCGGCAGCGCGGCGGCCGGCCCGGCTCGCGGGTCGGCGGCGGGAAGAAGGGCGGACAGGGCCCGCAGTTCGGGCCGGGCCCCGCCCTCGGGCCATCACATCGCACACGCCAGCGGCGTGCCCGAGGACCCCGGCGCGGGTGGCAGTCCTGGGGCCCGGCCGTCGGCCCCGCACTGCTGCCCCAGCACGCGGGAGCATGTCACAGAGCCCCCGGACTGCAGGCACCGTCCCGGGCGTGGTCGCAGGCCTCCTCTCGCCGTCCTGAAGGAAGGGTGGACCCCAGGGACCCAGGCTCTGTCCGCTCGGTGCTCCCGGCTGGGCGTCCCGCCGCAAACCGGGGCAGGACGATCGGGGCGCTCCGGCCTTCCGGAAGCCCCACCCGGCAGCCTCCCCCACATTTTACAGACGTAGCAACTTACCGAGCTGGGCAATGCGGTCTGAGCACGTTTCTGTCCTCAGGGAACTCTCCTGCCCAAGAAGAAGGGAAGGGTGCGCGCCCATAGACAAGAAGCGGTCCGCTGCGTCCAGTGCTGTTGGCGGCTTGCTTGCTGATGGTTAAACCCTTGCAAGTGGTCCTGTATCACACAGCGCAGTGCAAACAAGCCCTCGTCCCGGGTGTGCGGAGCCACGTACTGGGCGAGTACATGCTCTGTGGCTGATCCTGCGCTAGGTGCTTCCGTGTCTTTTCCTGTTGAATTCTCGACGACCCTGCGACGTAGGCATCAGGGCCCCGCGGTGCAGATACCTGGCGGCACACCAGAACGCAGAGGGCTTTGAGGTCTACCAGGTGACCTGGTATGAGCTGCTGTGCAGCCTCCCAAGCACACGGGTGAAGGACTGTAATTTTCTGTGCTAATCAACGAGGGCCACCCTGCTCTAGAGTCGACAAGAACACCAAGATGAGGACAAGGCCACTGCTGTAGCTCAGGAAGCAGGCCTCACATACCAGTGTAAAAATATCGTTATGTCAAAACAATATAGTGACGTTGTGAAAGGAACTGTCTTTGACAAACAGAGTCTGAGAGTTGAGAAGGTTGGACTTGCTTTTTCTCAGCACTGTCCAAGGGAGAGTACCCATACTAGGGTTTATTAATAAGCAACAGGACTGGTTTGAATGGCTCTCGAATACTTGTTGCTGCATTAAGCATTGGAAATTAGTGGGGTAAATTAGACATTGCCCAGCCTGTAGGGAGCCCACAGTCTATGCGGAGAAAGACAGGAGCACAGAGAACCTGAACTCATCAGGATAACCCTGGGTGGTGTGGGAACGCATCCATCCTGGAGGGGATGACAGGAGGGGAGGGGAGGGGAGGCGGGACAAGGAAGGAGGGAGTTGTCAGAGAAGGTCTCAAGAGGTGATAACTGAATGGGGGTCTTGAAAACGCACAGGAGGGGACAAGCTAAGTGTAGGGAATGATAGTACAAAAGTATGTGGGCAAAAGGGTGTCACATATGTGACTGCTGGGTATGAAGAGAGGACTAGAAGAGCATCCTGAAGAGTCAGATGGTGGCCCTGTCGTGACGGGTCATGGATGCGAAGGGGTTTGCCTTGCTGACTTTACCTTGTGCGCAGTCTTGGTGGCTTTTTTTTTTTTTTTTTAAGATTTTATGTATTTATTTGACAGAGAGAGACACAGCGAGAGAGGGAACACAAGCAGGGGGAGTGGGAGAGGGAGAAGCAGGCTTCCCGCGGAGCAGGGAGCCCGATGCGGGGCTCGATCCCAGGACCTGGAATTATGACCTGAGCCGAAGGCAGACGCTTAACGACTGAGCCACCCAGGCGCCCCCTTGGTGGCTTTCTTAATTTAGATACCCTCTGCTCCCCCAGCAAATGGATGGGCACTTGACTCAAGCTAAGCCAGTTGGATCATCTACCAGGAGTGAGAGGGGAAGTATCGGGATGGGGAGTTGAGGGTTGAAACATCCCCCCTGGAGAGAAGGTGAGGGGGTTGCCTTATGGGTTCATGAAAAGTGTACAAAATGGGGTGGAAAGCACCACAGAGGATAGAGGTACAGTGTGGGATGTTTCCTCAGCCCACTCAGTAACCTGCAGTCTCATTACTTCATTTCACACCTCACAACTGGATATGAAAACTGTATTTTAGTCCTTAGAAAGATGTACTCTGTACTTACTTTGATCTTATTTTCTAACCCAAAATTAAATACTTAGTATTTTAAATCAGCACTGTTAAGGAAAGTCTGGACTACATAGACATCATTTCTCTATGACAATTTGGATGGGATGTTCCACCAAAAAAAATTTTTGAGCAATATGTGCAAACACCCCATCCAATTTCACCCTCATTCTATGTTCATGGGACAACCTTCCCCAGGGTTTCAACAGAAAAACAAGTTTCCCCAGTGGAAACATGGTTACTGTGTTATTTATATTACACAGGACTTCTTTAGGTTTGTAAATTTTTAAGGGCTTAAAACCCTTGCAGCCTCCCACCCAGAAGGAAACATAACTAACTGCCCAGGAGAACTTCTACCTTGAGAGACCTGCACTGGGTTATGAGTCTAAGACAGCCAGCAGCTGTGCCCCAGGCTCACTTCTCCTCTAAATCCCATAATCCTAATTTACACCGAGAACATAGCTTCGAGAGGATGTGGGAAGTGTAGTTTCCACAGCTGCAGCCAGGAGAACGGAATGGAAACCGTGCAGGCCAGTTCACTTTGGCCACCACACCGAGACACTGCTCAACGGCCTGGAGGAGGAGGGATGACGAGATCTCACTCTGTCCTTCGTCCTCCCCAGGGAGACCCCGGTGCCTGCGCAGAAACGAGCCTGGAGTCCGTGCACTTCGGTTCTGATGCCTTGAAATCAAAGGCACATACTCTTTAAAAAGTGAGAGAATAGGTTACCGCATATGAATCCTGATGTTAAGCATTTTTACATTTCTCATCAAAAATACTGGCTTTCTAGCCAAAATACTGATAAAGGAAGAAAAAACTGTCAATGAGTTATCAACTAAATGTATTCCCGTGAGTCTGAGTCATTCTTTGACCTAGTGACTGAAGTTGTGGATATTAGCGTAGATGCATTTTCTGAGCTGAAAGTCGATTAGAACTGACACGCGAACATGTACTCTCTCTCTCCTTTCGCTGCTACTCTAGAGTAAAAGTATCGTGAGAAGCCAGAGTACACAGAATCCTTTTCACACTAATGCAGATGAAAATGTCATTTCTCATCTCTCTAGCAACTTCTTGGTTTGACTGAAAATGACTTATTTGATCCATCAGTGAAGCTTCTTAATTATTCCGTTGTAGGAAACCCTGCCTAGATGAATCGGTATTAACTTTGAAACAAGGGAGTCCTATCGGGTGCTCAGGATAAAGAGCAGTAAAGTTGAGATAAGACGACATTGTGGGTGGTATGGAATGAAAACACATCTCTGTTCTTAAGTTCCAGGAGGGCCGCTAATTAGAGCCACTTGCAAGGAAACTCTTTAATTTAGTTTTGATATGTGATACTGGGTTTCTGGTGGCACCTTCAAAATAATGTTTTTTCTTAGGGCATAAAAAAGTTGCAAATTAGATTACATTAAAATGATCATTTTTTTAGCATTTCCATTTATTTTAATCCCCACTTTTGTTTTGTTTTGTTGTTTTGCTTTCCAGACTTGGAAAATTAATGATTGACTGGACTAATTCAGTAGCCTGGTTGATGAATTAGAGCATTAACAAGAAAATTTTGATGTAAGTATGAATCTTTAAGCCATATTTCCAACCTTCCACCATATGCATTCTTTGGTTAATATTAAAAGTTTATTCCATGGCATCATTTCCAGTTATGTTCTTCTCAAATATATACTTTACTCACTGTTTCTCTGTCTCTCTGCATCCATCCAGTGCAATGGAGATAAATGGACAATCACTCTTGAACACACAGCGGGCTTCTATTGAAGCACTTGGCCTGTTAGCCCAGCTCCAATGTCCTTTTTTTGGGAGAATGAATGTTCTGGCATAGCAGTCACCCAAGTTGTGATTTTGTTTCCTTATAATCATTGCAATTGTGTTTGAAATAGCCATAATGCAATTTTCTCAATATGAGCTATTTTTAGCAGTGCAAAACTCTGACTGCAATTTTTTTCATTTTATTTCTTTTTTAAAGATTTTATTTATTTATTTGTGAGAGAGAATGAGAGAGAGCACATGAGAGAGGGGAGGGTCAGAGGGAGAAGCAGACTCCCCGCCGAGCAGGGAGCCCGATGCGGGACTCGATCCTGGGACTCCAGGATCAAGACCTGAGCCGAAGGCAGTTGCTTAACCAACTGAGCCACCCAGGCGCCCCATTTTATTTCTTTTTTTAAAATTTTTTTTTTTAAGATTTTTTTTATTTATTTATTTGAGACAGAGAGAATGAGAGAGAGAGAGCACATGAGAGGGGAGGGGGTCAGAGGGAGAAGCAGGCTCCTTGCTGAGCAGGGAGCCCGATGCGGGACTCGATCCAGGGACTCCAGGATCATGACCTGAGCCGAAGGCAGTCGCTTAACCAACTGAGCCACCCAGGCGCCCCCCCATTTTATTTCTTAATATAAGGTGGGCATTCTTGTTTAACCATATCCACAGACTACCTTAATGAACACAAATGTGTCACATGATCTTTAAATAAGTGAATGTCACTATGTTCCAAGGCAAAAAAAAAAAAAGTTACATCACCATGACACAAAAATGATACCATAACAGGTAAACTCTGCTCCAAGATTTTGAATAATTTTTTTTTTCTTTAAAAACAGGAATCCATCTATCTTCAATTATAAAATACATGTTCATTGAAAAAATAAATTTCGGGGCCCCTGAGTGGCTCAGTCGGTTAAGCGTCTGACTCTTGGCTTAGGTGGGTCGTGATTTTGGGGTCCTGGATGGAGCCCCATGT